GTGGGTGCCTAGGTTGTGTCACGTGCACTTGTGTGTTGCTCTTTGCCCTCTGATGGATGCCTGTGGGGGTCTCTTCCAGGCTCAGGTGTTGGTGTGCCGAGCCCTCTCTAACATCCTGCTGCTTCCGTGGCCGAACCTCCCCGAGAATGAGCAGCAGTGGCCTGTGCGCTCCATCAACCATGCCAACCTCATCTCCGCACTCTCGCGGGACTATCGCAACCTGAAACCCAATGCTGTTGCCCCTCAGAGGAAGATGCCACTGGATGACAGTAAGTGTCCCCCAGGCAGGGGTGGCCCAGGAGATAGGTAGGGCAGGCTCTTTCTTTGTGGCCCATGAAGTATTCACCTGACTGTTGTCTCACGGCCGCTGGGTGGGAGAACCAGCCTTGGGTGGTGGGGTCATGCCTCTCTGTGGAATTCTGTGAACACATCAGCTGGACCTGTTTCCTGAATGTAGGATACCCCTTTTCTTAGTTAAAATAAGTAAACCATTGACGGTGCCTTCCATGGATAAAAAAATCCACAGTGACTAATTGATCCATTTCAGATATTTGTATAAGCTAAGCAATCAAAGCAATTCACCTTTACACATTGGGAAAAATGGATTTAAGTACTGTCTTTTGAAACTATTTTAACCTTCCTCCAAAAATGTGTTTCAGAGGCTTTGAAAGAACTTGGTATCTTCACAAATGGCACTTCAAGTCTGATTGTTTATATTCAAAAGGGAGGAAAAAGATGAACTCAGTTCAAGTAGAAGGCATCAGATTTCTCTGAAAAGTCTTGCAGAAAGTACGAATTTTATAGAAATACTTAAAAAAGGTATTTTCACGCTAAGAAAATACTGGAACATTGGAAGACGTTGTTTTTAGAATGTCAACAAAAACACTTTGTGAAATGTTAGAAATAGGGGCGCCTGGGTGGCTCAGTTGTTACGCGTCTGCCTTCGGCTCAGGTCATGATCCCAGGGTGCTTGGGATCAAGCCCTGCATCAGGCTCCCTGCTCATTGGGAAGCCTGCTTCTCCCTCTCCCACTCCCGCTGCTTGTGTTCCCTCTTTCGCTGTCTCTCTGTCAAATAAATAAAAGCTTTAAAAAAAATGTTAGAAATAGCAATAAGTACTCAACATTCTTGTTAAGAACATTATTTTTATAATCAGGAACATTAACAAGTGCTCATTGTACAAAAATATTAGAATAGTATAAAGATGGGAAAAACTCTTAAATCTCTTGTTTCAGTATTTTAGGAAGTAACCATTTTAGCAATCTTGTTGTCTTCCTTTTTCTGTGTTTCAGTATCTTCTGTAGTTCTGTGGGTGCATGAGAAATGGCGGAGTTAGGGAGGGCGCCCTGCACGCGGGGCCCCTGCCCGGGTCTTCTCTCCGTCTCTGCATCTCTGGCCATGCTGACACCGCCCTTCACAGTCTGGTGCTTCTCTGGTCCTGGTTCTCAGTGTTTTGTGTTCAGTCATTCACTTAATTCCCACGTGAGCCTGTGTGTTAGTTGCTGTTAGATATCCTGATTTAGTCCCTGAGGAAACTAGGGTAAGACAACCTGATTTGCACAGGGGTTATGTACGGCTAGTGTGCACTCACCTTCTAGAAAGTTTAGTGGTCTTTCTCCCTTTATCTTACACGTGCTTATTATCAGTCAGCATAGGCTACATGGTAACAAACAATCCCAAAAGTTTTAGTGGCTTCATCCAGGAAAAGATGTATTTCTTGCTCCTCCTACATGTTCAGCTGGGGCCAAGGGGGTTGGGGACGTCCTGCTTATTATTCTGGTCACTCGAGGCCCCAGGCTGCTGAAGGCCACCCTGCAGTCTGTGCTTACGCTGGGACGGGGGCGGGGAGGAGGGTGCAGTGGCGCTCCAAGTGCTGGTCTGCAGGGGACACCTGGCCTTCGTATGTCCGCTCACGTTTTACTGGCCAGAGCATAGGGGTATGCGGCCACAGCTTCCCTGCAGAACGGGTGCCACCCTGTGTTGGAGCCACTGTGTGCTGGAGTGATCTGCTGAATGGCAGCAGCCATTTCCACAGGGAATAGACTTAACAGCAGTTAACATCTGTGGCGTGTTCCCTGTTTGCCAGGCGCTGGGCTGAGAACTTTCTGTACAGATGTTCATTCAGTCTTCCCTGCAGCCCAGTGAGGTTTGTCTTCTCCTTCTCCAAGTGGTAACATGAAGGCCTGGAAAGCTTTTCCCACTGCAGCTTAGTACTTTGACAAATTTTGAAACCTACACTTAGTTGAAAGACTAAGCAAAGGAACAACCGTATATCTTACGTGAGGGTTACTTGCCAATATTTTGCCACACTTGTGTTCCCGCCCACCCCCCACACTTTTTGTTTTTAACAGAGCCATTTAAATAAAGTACATTGCTGACATTGACACTTTATCCCTGAATTCTTTATTTTACTTTATTTTTTAAAGATTTTATTTATTTATTTGACAGAGAGACAGCGAGAGAGGGAACACAAGTGAGGGGAGTGGGAGAAGGAGAAGCAGGCTTCCCGCCGAGCAGGGAGCCCGATGCGGGGCTCGATCCCAGGAGCCCGGGATCATGACCTGAGCCGAAGGCAGACGCTTAACGACTGAGCCACCCAGGCGCCCCTATCCCTGAATGCTTAACCTTTATTTCTGAGAACAAGATGCTCTCTTATAACCCAAACACCACAAACACAACCAAGCTGTGTGGCCTGGTAACGGTAACATCATTTAATACATAGACGCAGTCAGTGTTCCCCAGGTGCTACCAGAGTGGCCTTTTTTGCTTCTTAAAAATCGAAGATAGAGTCCGGGATCCTGTGTTCTCTTTGGTTGTCACATCTTTCTAGTCCTTTAATACAGAAAAGCATTCCTGGTTCTTGTTTTACATGACATTGACGTTTTTAAAGAGTCCAAACCCATATTCTCGTAAAATGTCCTGGAAGCTCTTCTGATTGTTTCCAGCAATTTGGCAGGAATACCACCTGGGCAGTGTTGTGTGTTTTCCGTCACATCGCTTCTGTGTGTCCCGTTACTGGCATGCTCAGTGTGGTCACCTGCCTCAGCAGTGCCTGCTGGTCTCTTCGCAGTCAAGTGCCCCCTGCCCCATGGCTCAGCAAGTGTAGCTTGCTCGGGATCAGAGAGAAGGCAGTGGGGTCAGGAGTGAGACCTGGGTCTGAATGGCTCCAGATCCTGATTCTTTACCACATTGCCCCTTTGTTCTTGAAAGCACTGTTTTTAATGGTCTGGTAACAGACCGCCTATCCAGTGGAAGTACCACACTTTATATACCTATTCTCCTATTACATTTTCAGTGGTGCTTTCAGTTTCCCCTTGTACATTTCTCTGAATGCATTTTGGTTCTTGTTTCAATTTCCTTACACATCAGAGGTCAGATTTTGGTCTCTTTCCCCTGTTGGCTTTTCCCGCTAAACTGCTTTCCCTGTGCCTTGTGTATCTTAGAGAAACGTCTGACCCAAGTGCAGTTTCCTGGCTCAGTTAGAGTCCCTGTGCTTGGAGTAGTGGTGTGTGAGTGGCTCCTTCAGTATGATGCACGTGTCTTTGGCTCACGTGCCAGTGTCCGCGTGACCAGCCGTTAGAAGACCAGCCTGTTGTGAGCCATTATTTTCAAATCCTTTGAGTGAGGTGGTGTTACCTGTCTATCCACATTTTCAGATGACGAACTGAGACTTAGAATCTAGTGGAGGCAGGAGTCAAACCTGATTGCATCCACCTCTGGAGCATCGATTCTTTCCGCTGTACCCTTCCCTGGAGGCTGCTTCCGCCCCCACAGAGGCTGGTGAGCGTGGAGGGCCAGGTGGAGGCCAGCTCTTAGTTTAGCTCTGGTTCTGTCCCCGGAGCTCCACCAGGGCTGAGTCTGCCAAGCTCAGGCTGTGCCATGGGGGGCTTTTGGGGGCAGCTGGGGGCATGCTCTGTGTCTAAGGGGAGAGCCGTCTCCACCAGTGATGAGGAAGGATGGTACCTTCCCTATGCTGAAACTTCCAATAGTCCAGGCACTTTGCTGGCAACATTCTCAACCTTGTCTGTCCTCCTCACAGCAGCCCTGCAAAGCTGGGGCTGTTGGCTGTCCCTGGTGTCCTGACAAGGGGCCTGCCCCGCTTGTAGAGCCATCTAGTGCTCGTCTGTAGCTCCCCCCGGGGCTCCTTGGAGCTGGGCCCTTGCTGTGTCCTCTGAGCTCCTGCCCGTTTGCCGGCCCCTGCCTCTGCTTTCTCTGGGCGCTGTGTGGAGGCATCATGTGAGCTCTTGCATTGGGGTCTGGTTAGGAGTGATGTCGTTAATAACACAATATCATATGATAATCATTGTACATATTGTCAGACCCTGGGCCCAGACAGTGTATTCCTGACAGCAGCAGCAGATGTGTCGCCGGGGGCTGATATGGATTGCCTGGCCAGCCATCTATCTGGAACTGACAGCATGTCTCATCTGCATGTGTCCATTCTCGCCTGGGGTAGTTCCCTTGTGAGGCTTATTTTTTTTATCGGTCACCTAACCTGAGGCTACACTTTTATCTTTCCCTCTCTGTGGACTTGTTTCTGGTGGACAGAGGCAGAAGAGAGGCAAAAACCTGAGCAGGCAGGCCACTGGAGTCTTGGCGGTAAAAAGGGAAAAAAGAGAGAAAAGGATATAGGGAGAGAGAGAGAGATGGATAACTCAGTCAAGAGAGAGAGACGGTGTTCCTTTAGCAAGACTTCTGCAGCAGTCCCCTGAATACCTGTGCAAATGTCCCCCCTTCTCGTGTGTTCCCCGTTATATTGCTTTATCCTCAGACAAGTCCTAACATACACTGAATCTCGATTTGCAGCCAAAGTGATTATCCACCAGACACTTAGTGTCTTAGAAGACATCGTGGAGAATATCTCCGGGGAGTCCACCAAGTCCCGGCAGATCTGCTACCAGTCGCTGCAGGAATCTGTGCAGGTCTCCCTGGCCCTCTTTCCAGCTTTTATCCATCAGTCAGGTAGGAGCTGGCTGCAGGCCCCCTGGTGGGGGGAGCGGAAGAGTCCAGAGGGACTGCTGGGCTCTGTAGAGCACACCGAGCGGGCAGGCGGTGCGGCCTTGCGGCTGAAGGCAGAGCGCGGGGACGGTTATGGGCAGTCTGGGGCTAAGGCCCCCCGGAACCCTCACCTGGGCCTTGCACCTGTGTCGTGTGGCCCGGAGTCACTTGGGGCATCTTGCCTGATGCACTTCTGAGTCTTTGCCTTCTCCCAGTGTGGAATGTCAGAGGATGAGGCGATGGGGTCATTGTACAGGAGAGGAAAGAATTTTTCCCATGGGTGTTGCTTATTTCCTTCGATAGCAAGGTGGCTTTTTCTGACATGGTTCCCACCCTCTGTCAGTGTCACCGATAGAGGTTCTCTGACTCTGTGGATGCACGTGGCCTGGCTCTCCTGAGAGCACTTACGGTAGTCTTGTCAGTCACGAGGGAAAGATCGGAGCTTGCTAGTTAGCACGCGTTCCCTGATTGCCTCTTGTAAGCAGTGTGTGTGAGGTTAGAGCCAAAACATACTGTACAAGATGATTGTCTAGATCTGCAAGTAGAACCAGACTAAATGTAACCAGTATTTTCTGCAATTAATCCCTTTAATGGGCCAGGGCCATGCAGCCTCAGTACACCCTCATTATCCACTTTCAGCCACTTAACCCGACCCAAGTGCAGGGATTAGTGGTCAGAGAGAGAAATGGCAAGAGCACTCAGGTGTTGACCCAGTTGAATCACTCCATCAGTGTGAGCACAAAATGATCCATCTGCAGTGAGAATTCAGCATCGCTGGATGCCGGGTGGTGAAGGCAGCTGCCCCGTGACCTTCACTTCTAGTGAGCCGTCGTCAGCCAGAGGTTCAGGATGCCAGAGCTTTTTTCTCGGCATATCCCTGATGGTTTCCCACTTTCCATTGTGGGCTCCGGGGGCGTTGGGGAAACTTCTTCCAGCAGGAAGCCTTTAGGCGAGGTGGTAGTGCAGCTTGCAAAAGGAAGGCCATCAAACCAAGGGGGCTTCCAGTTATTCCTGTGTGCAACTTCTGACCCATTTGCTTTGTGCCTTCATTTAGATGTGACCGATGAGATGCTGAGCTTCTTCCTCACTCTGTTTCGAGGCCTTAGAGTACAGATGGGCGTGCCTTTCACGGAGCAGATCATACAGACTTTCCTCAACATGTTTACCAGGTAACCGCAGACCTGCTGTCCACCGTGGCTTCCAGACTCCCAAGGGAGGAGTAGTCGGGCTGGGCTAAAGAGCCTGGGACTTTATGCTCCTTTTCTTCATGTGCCACAAGCGTTGGTTTTCATGTGGGCCCCCAGAGAAACATTTCCTTGGCTACCGTGTGCTTCCCATTGTCTGTAGAGAACAGTTGGCCGAGAGCATCCTCCACGAAGGCAGCACTGGATGCCGGGTGGTGGAGAAGTTCCTGAAGATCCTGCAGGTGGTGGTCCAGGAGCCTGGCCAGGTGTTCAAGCCTTTCCTCCCCAGCATCATCGCCCTGTGCATGGAGCAGGTGTATCCCATCATTGCCGAGGTACGAGGGGCTGGGCAGGTCCCGTGCTGCCTCCTGTCTGCCCCGGGGAGGGAATTAGTGAAGAAAAGGCATTGTGTTTTAAAGCTAATTTGCTAGTTGTTTTTTTTTTTCGTAAAATATTTTTTTCCGAGAAAGAATGCCCTTAGCTTGATCCAGTCTTTTTATATTGGTTGAGTTAATCAGAACTAGTCTAGTGAAAGCATAGCAAGGTTGGTTGGTGAGTAAGAGCAGTCTGCCATGGCAAACAATTTATAACTTTAGGTGAATATGTGGTTTTTTTCAGTGAACATTGTAACAAATGTACTTTCCTAGTAAGAACTTGCACTGATCTCAAGGATATAAGGTTAGTTCTTGGAACCGTGCAAAGGTTTTATTGTTAAAGGAACGCTCTTTGTCCTTAGAAAACAGACATTCAGCGTGACAAGATCCAGAATAAGTGTGGATTTAACTACATTTTATGTGATAGTTAAATAAGAGCTAACTTTTTTAAGGGCCCCAACTAAGGCTTAAATAAGTCAGTTGCTTTGCATCATTAAACACACTTGGGTCCTATAAGGATTCCTGCCATGGGAGCTCGTGCCCTCTGGTCCCAATTTAATTTTAATCAAGACTGAATTAAATATATCTGGGCCTTACAGGTTTTGAATTCTCCAGAGACATCTGGAATACTGTAACCTGGCATGCCCTCCAGTGACTTGGAGATTTTCGGTTCAGTTAGAAAATACTGCTGAGCCTGCCTCCCTCTCCCCCTCTTCCCGGAATCCTGCTGCCAGTGACAGAGGAGACAGGCCCAGGGAGCAGTTAGCCTCACACGCTGCCTCCCCCTGGAGGTCTTCTGCTGTTGCTCTCTGTAGCTCTAGGTGCTCTTTAAACTCCTGCTCCGAGGGCAGAACTGCTTTTAAAGCTTCTTACTTGTTTTGCATAATAAGATCAACAGGTTAGCTGGGACAGCCTTTTTTATCCTGGGAAAAGGAACGTGACCAAGAAGATGTGACAGGTCACATCAGCTGCTTTCTAAATAGGAAACCCATATTCCTAATTGTTCTGCCATTTGGTAGCCTTTTTTTCCTGGCTGAGAGGGCTGAGTGCTTCTGTCAGAAAAAGGGCCCCTCTGGGTGCCTGGCTGGCTCAGTCGGTAGAGCATGCGACTCGTGATCTTGGGGTTGTGAGTTAAAGCCCCACGGTGGTTGTAGAGATTACATAAAAATAAAATCTTTAAGAAAAAAAAATTTGTTAAAAAGAAGAGTAGAAGGATAAAGGGCCCTCGGCCCTGGCCTGGGCATCGTGTCTCTGCGGAAGTACGCCTGGTTTGAACTGCCAGCCCGAGGGCGACGTGACCAGACGAGTGTGGGGGGGACACTGACACTCTGCTTGCTGGTAGCAGGCATCGTTCAGGTCTCTCTTGCTCTGAGCCACAGGAAGGGCAGGTGTGAGGGTCTCTGTATCTCTGCAGCGCCCCTCCCCTGATGTGAAGGCTGAGCTGTTTGAGCTCCTTTTCCGGACGCTCCATCACAACTGGAGGTACTTCTTCAAGTCCACTGTCCTGGCCAGTGTGCAGAGGGGTATTGCCGAGGAGCAGATGGAGAATGAGCCTCAGTTCAGTGCCATCATGCAGGTAATGTGCAGCAAGAGCCCGTGAGGCTGCCATGTGATCCCAGGACGGAGAGCCTCATTCTGGACACCACCTGGGTCCCTCAGCTGTCTGTCCTTTGGTTTGCTTCCCTGGCATACGGGGAGGCCACGTAGTCTCTGGTCAGAGCTCAGTGCTACCTCTTAGTACCTGGGAAGTTAGTTAAGTTCTTGGGGCTTCAGTCTCTTCATCTGTAAAGTGGGAAGAATGCTGCCTATTTTGTGGGTTGAGGGTGAGGCTGACTGGGTTAGCTTCTGCCCAGCTGCTGGTGCATGGGGGTGCTGGATAAGTACCTGTATGCCTTGTAGCGGTGCTCCCCCAGTGTGAGGGGCCCGCCTGCAGCACATTGAAGCCCCCTTAACTGGAAGCTGAGTGGAGTCTCTTGGGGAGGGGCCCAGGGATCTGCATCTTGTAAAGATCATTCCAGCTCGTACCATACTGGGAGAGCATAGCATACTGGGAGAGTGCTGCCCTGTGAGTGGACTCCCTGCGGGGCTGACTGCACCCTGCTGTAGGGGCCGCGGTGCCTCCCCTTGCTGGGGGTGGCCGGGCTGCCTTGTGGCTACTGTCCACTGCTGTCCTCCTTCCACACTTCATGGTAGAACTTTTTATTCTGAGCCCAGGTCCAAGTAGAGGGTTTCCTTTTTGTTTGTTTGTTTTTTCCAGTGCAAATTTTTCTCCTTGGGGTAGCCAGAGGGATTCTGCCTTCCTCCCTTGAGCTCCCCCATCAGCACGCACACGTGCAGTCCCTGTGCGGAGACGCTTCTCCGGATGAGCACATGCCCTGCCCCTGGCCTCTCGCTGCCCTTCTGTCTCCAGCGCGGCGTTGGGTGTGGAATATTCAGTGTTTGCTCTCCTACCCCCCATGTCAACCTTGCTTTTAAGCCTTCTTGGGCAGATGGGTGCCTGGCCCTCTACTAGGCTGGTGAAAGCCACTTTGGAAAACAGCTTCACAGTTTGGCAGTTTCTTAGAAAGTTGGGTATGTAGTTACTACCCGACAAACCACTTCTAAGCATTTTACCTAAGCTAAATGAAAACATATTCATGTCACATGTCCACAGGTGTTTATAGTGGCTTTTTCATAATTGCCCAATTTGGAAATAATCCAGATATGTATCAGCTGGTGAATGGATAAACCAAGACACATGCATATAAGGGACTGCTACTTGACAGTAAAAAGGAACATATTCTGACACTTGAGACCAACGTAGATGACTTCCAAATGGTTACGCTGGGTGAGAAGCCAGACCCCAAGGGCTCCAGACCGAATGATTTCCACTCCATCATGTAATGTTCTGGAAAAGGCAAAACCAGAGGGACAGAGAAGGGGTAGGGGGAGAAGACTGACTGCAAAGGGGACACGAGGGGACTTTTTGGGGAGATGGAAGTCTTGTGTGTCTCGATCGTCATGGTGGGTAGATGACCGTGTGTTGGTCAGAATTACACAAGGGTGAACTCCAAAAGGGTGAGTTTACTCAGTGTCACACTTGAGTAAACCCAACTTAAAAAAATAAAACCATCGGGCATCATGGAGATCCCATTGCTGCCGCAGGCATTATGAGACCCCTCATAGCTCAGGGGCATGGGAACAAGACGACAGAGCAGGCAGCAGCTTGTTGGGAGTGGGGGCTTGCACATCACTGGCTTGGGGTTTTTGGGCAAGGGAGGGGTGTTATTTTTTGCTTTAGAACTTGTAACTTTGACAGCCCGGAAACTGCAAAGGAGTTTAAAAATTTGTTGTTGCTTAGCCCCAAGGCAGAGGCAGCCAGTTTGAAGGAGCCTCCCAGGATTTGTGGTTTGTAAGAATTGGGACACCAGGGAGAGGGTATGTGGCTGACAGAGGGTGAGGGGTTGGTTCGAGGGGAGGCAGGAGGCAGGCTTCAGAGTCCTCTGGGTTTGCTGAGGTTTTGACTAGAGTCACTTGACTAGCTTCTCGCTTCAAAGGCGGAATCCATGAAGGAATCCAGAGGTTTATTACAAAAGGTCAAGGTGAGACCCGTATGTGAAGTGAGGCCCAGTGGGGAGGACTTCAGAGCTACGACTACTTGGGAACATTCCAAGATCTGACCAGAAGACTCAAGGCCGTGGATACCCTCATCCTGCCATGGACATGAGGAACCACTTGCAGAGTGCTGGTTCTTTTGGTGTGGGGTGGGGGCCCTGGGAGGGCCAGGTCTGAGGTGCTTTAAATGCTGCTCATAACATAGTGGTCTTATTCCCTAGGCTTTTGGACAGTCCTTTCTCCAGCCTGACATCCACCTGTTTAAACAAAATCTCTTCTACTTGGAAACTCTCAACACCAAGCAGAAGCTGTACCACAAGGTCAGCGCCCCCTCTCAGAAAGGGTCCTTCCTCCAAGGCGTCAGTGGGGCGGGCAGAGTGCCACCCTTCTGGGGCAGCAGCTGGGGTGCGTGGCAGGAAGTGGGCTGGGATGCGGACGGGCCCCGGGGGTGGAGTGAGCCCTCGTGCCATCGCTCACCCCGGCCTCTCTGTCTGCAGAAGATCTTCCGGACCACCATGCTGTTTCAGTTTGTGAACGTGCTGCTGCAGGTCCTGGTTCACAAGTCCCACGACCTTCTGCAGGAGGAGATCGGCATTGCCATTTACAACATGGCTTCTGTGGACTTTGACGGCTTCTTTGCAGCCTTCCTCCCAGAGTTTCTGACCAGCTGTGACGGCGTGGATGCCAACCAGAAAAATGTGCTGGGGCGGAATTTCAAGATGGATCGGGTGAGGAGAGGGAGGCCAGGCTACGGGGAGGGCAGGCGTGGGTTCTCACCCTGGCACCTGCTCAGGGAAGAAGGGGCAGGCCACTTCTGTGTGTGGTTTGTGCCCGCTAGTGGCTCCTGAGCAACTCGGTGCTGTGGCTGGACGCGGGGGGCCCCCGCCTCCCCACGGTGGGGGCTCCTGCAGCCAGTGTGTTCTTCGTCTCAGCCGTTGGGCTCCAGCCCTGGCCCCAGCAGTCTGTCTGATTGCCTCTGCACCCCATCGAGCACACCCATCCCCCTGGGCGCAGTCGTCGTTTCCTCCCGGGGCCTGAGCCACTATAGCCCAAACTCTCAGATAGTCTGGGAAGACTGGCGCTCAGGAGCTACGTCTCTGAGTCCCCCCCAGGGTTAGGGATGGGCCCTTGGGCTCTGCCCAGGCCTCCTGGTTCAGCATGGGCTGACCTGCTGTCCACCCAGGGAACGTGGCGGGAATGGGGTAGGGGCTGGGGTGGTGAAGGCGCTGGATGCACGCAGAGCCATCGTGGCCGGTGCATCTGGGTCCCATGGCCCCCAGCTTCTCCTGTCCCGGGGTGTCCTGTCTGGACACTCACCTGCCCTCTTTCCTCTCTCAGCCGTTAGGTCTCTGCACTTGCCTGCTAGGCTCTTCCTGGAACTCTTCCCGTGGAACGAGTCCGTTTCATCCTTCACCGCCTGACACGCGGCAGAATGAAACCTTTCTCCCTCATCCTCGTGGTGTCCCTGCCTTGCCTCCTGCGCTGGAGCAGCCGGCCCGCAGTCCCACTTCCGTGTGCAGACTTACACGGGGCTCTTGCTGGAGCAAATTCTGCTCACTCCTTGCTTATCTCATCTGTGATATGCATCAGGGTAGTTTTCTCTTAGACTCACTCAGTTCCTGTTTTCCTTTGTCTTGGACTCTCTTTCCCTGTTTTCCTTTGTCTTGGAATCTGTCTTTCCCCAGGATCTGTCTTGTCTTCTCCTGAGCTTCTGGAACCTCACTTCAGCCACTTGGGTAGTGTTCCTTCCTGTTTCTTGAGGCCAAGTCCTAATATTTAACCCTCAGTTTCTAATGATGTCCTTATCAGTCGACGTCTTGATTGAGAAAGCGATGGCCTTCCAAATCTAGTTCTGCATCTGTGCACCTGGGGGGCTTATTAAATACACAGAAATGTACTCTTATGTCCTGCCCCCCCCCAGGGCATTTGAATTTGGCATTTGGGAGCCACTGATCTAAAAGACACCCCTTTGGTTTGTTTTCTGGAGGATGAAATAAGTATACGAACCTGTGCCTTCATTCATCTGTTTACCGTGTACCTGACACTGGCTGGCTCTCGGGCCCTGTGTGGGGTGTTGGGGCTCCAGTCCCTCTCCCTGGCTTCAAAGGAACCTTGCTGGGAAGACAGGCAGCATCGCCCTCTGTGGATGACACTTGGGCCAAGCACTTCACATGCCCCGGCTCTTGGAAGCCTTCCAACGACCTTCCAAAGTGTAGATCCTGTTACTAATCCCATTTCACAGATGAGCCGAGGCTCAGCAAGCTCAGCCAGGAGCTGGCAGTTAGAGAACTTGGGAATGCTAGAGCCAGGAAGCAGGATTTCTGGCTGGGTGTTGGGGCTGCGGAGCCAGCGTGCACGGCCCACACGCAGGGTGAGCCAAGGGCACTTGGAGAGTGAGGAGCAGAGGTGCTGGCCTCGCCAGCTGGGGCCTCTTTGGCAGAGGCAGGCTTCAAAGTGAGTTGGAAGAGGAGAGGAGGTTAGCCAGGTGAAGGGCGGGTGGGCCGAGGCGCACCGCAGAGCCCTGCCAGCGGGCTTCCAGAAGGTACTGCTGTGGCCCTGCCAGCCACGTGGGGTCCCACTGGCTCCGTGGCAGGCACCGTTGATGTTACTCTACATTTGGAGCTGCAGTGTGGCACCCAGTGATCCTGGTCTAAGCACAAGGAGGTCTCGGCTGGTCTTACTGGGTTATGGTAGAGTTGGGGGTTCCAACTGCAAGGGGCCCTCTCCATTGGTGTCTGCAGCCTGTGGGCTCCTGCGGGAGTGTCCCTCCTGATCGGGAGGGCCTGCCCGGAGCCCGGGGTGGGGGAGGAGTCTGTGGACACAGCTCGGCCGGCTGGGATGAAGGAGAGGTGTACGTTGGCAGACATACCTGTGTTCACGAGCGAGTCCAGTCTAGATCTCCTTCCCTTCTTTCTGGGGGACCTGGGGCAAGTTTCAGAATCTCTCTGTGCTTCACTTTTTTCACCCTTCACACGGGGGCACTAACAAAACCTGCACCGTGGGCTCTTGGTGAAGTTGAAGTGACTTAGCATCTGGATTGCTTGGGGCAGGGGCTGGCCTGTGGTGGGCTCCCACAGGGCCTTTGCTGTCATGTGGTGCATGAGGGGCGTAGATGTTCTGACTTTTATAAAGCTTTTGCAGATCTCTGAGGCCCACCCCAGGATCGAAGTAGCTGGGGTAGGATTGGGGGGTGATTTGGGGTATTGGGTGGGGCTGGGCTGCAGCTGTGCCCCTGCCTTCCAGGACCTGCCCTCGTTCACCCAGAATGTGCACAGGCTGGTCAACGACCTGCGTTACTACAGACTCTGCAATGACAGCCTGCCCCCCGGCACCGTGAAGCTCTAGCACGGCCTGCTTACCGCCAGGGGACGCGCGCTCCGGCTGTTACCCGCCTCCCCTCTGCCCTCTGCCACCTGCCACGGACGGCGCCCGGACAGGCCTCGGCCGCTCCCTGGATTCTCGCACCCTGGACAGTGGTGCCTGCCCCCCGCCCCTCTCCATGCTCCTCTCCTGTTGCCCACCCAGCCGAGCTGGCTGCAGGGTGCATCTTAGCACTGGTTGGAGTGCGCAGAGCACCGGGAGCAGGCAGAGGGTCGTGCGACCAGGTTCCAGGGAGGCCCCAGGGAATCCTGCGGGCTGGTCCGCGCCATGCCCGCGGACATCAGCCATGAGGCAGAAACGCCAAGGACCGCTCATGACAGTGCCACCTTCTTACCATTCCGCCCCCGGCCCAGCCGGCCCCGGAGAGACTTGATGCTGGAACTGTTTTGGCACTTCTGTCAAGCCTCTCCTGCCCTGCCCTCCGATTGCCTTGAAGTCTCTGCTCTTCATCAGAGATTTGCAGACTTGTGGGTTTTTTTGTTCTTGTTTTCTCATCATTCCATTGTGATACTAAGAAACTAAGAAGCTTAATGAAAAAATAAAACGCTTATGTTGTTGTTATATAAACACTGGTCAGGGAGCATCTTTCCACTCAGCCCCCCCACCCCCACCCCCTGGGGCCATGTGCGGGTGGAAGGCCATCCTGGTGGGGAGCAGGGCAGTGAGGTCGGGGCCTGTGGTGGGGCCCTGGGAGAGCACCGCAGAGGAGGGCCAGCTCGGGCGGGGTCTCCTAGACAGCCGCTCCATTAAGCTGCGGGAAGACACAGGGCCCCTGGCTCACCTAGCGGTGCGGGTGGGTGAGGAGCCCACGTGCGGTCTGCCACCCCTCCTCCTAGAGAATGGATCCTTCCTGAGAGACCCAACCAGGCATTGCCCATCGGTGAACTGAAGTCTCGCCGGAGGTCAGCGGCCGGGTGGAGGGCTGAGTGGGTGGCGGGTGTGAGGAGAGGTTGCGCAGGAGAGGGCACTCGGGGCTCACTCTCAGGTGTGATGAGAGCTGGGGCTGGTCGGCCATTCGTGTGTGGCAGTGGTGCTTGTCCTGAGGTTGCTGGGATGATGCATCAGCAGCTCCTCCTGCCTTGAGGGTCCCGGTGACCAGACTGACAGGACTAGGCTAGATTCTTCTGTTTTGTTTTAAGATTTTATTTTTAAGTGATCTCTACACCCAGTGTGGGGCTCGAACCTACAATGCTGAGATCAAGCGTTGCACGCTCCACTGAGCCAGCCAGGCCCCCCTGGACGAGGCTAGATTGTCATGTGGGATCCCAGCCCTGGCTGGAAGAGGCTTGCTCACCTGCAGTGAGGGTGGCCACTGGCTTGGTGGTAGAACTGGAGAGGAGGAGGGTGTTGGGGGTGCTGATGGCTTCTGCTTCTGAGGCCTTTATTAGCATCACTGTGGGGGCTGGGAGGGGCGGGGGTACCTGGGCCGTGTGTGTGCACGCGCGTGTCAATCACAGCCTCCCAGCTGCAGTTAGCCCCACTTGAGAGTTCAGAGAAGAGGAAATTGAAACTCCAGTCGCTCTTTTGCAGAAAGGAATTAACATCCAGTTATTCTTGGGCTATAAATACCATGTCACCTGCCTGTGTGGGAAGGCTCGAGTGTGGTCTACGCCTGAGCCGGTGAAAGGGCTTTTTGAATGCCCGCAGATGGGAGGGGCAGAGGGATGGGATCTGTCGCCTGAGAGCTGGGACGGAACTTGAAGCAGGACTTGGGGTGGTAGGGGAAAGGCCGTGGGGAGTAAAGTGGGCCCAGCAGTTTTGTTTCTAGACTGCTGGGCATGGCTCCAGCTGTGTGAGTTGTAGTGAGCTCCCAGTCCTTGGAGGTGTGCAAGCAGAGGCTGGGTGACCTGCAGAAAGGGTCTGCTCCCCTGGTGCTCCCCTGACTCATCCTTCTTGTCCACAGTGTGCACCCCCCGAGTCCCCTGCAGGGCCCGGCACAGAGCAGGCCTTAAGGAGTGTGGCTGGAATTGGGTGTGTTCCCAGGTCCTTGACAAACCCAGAGACTGTCTGCATTGTGAGGGAGGAGCCAGGGAGAGGCCCCTGCAAGCCTTCAGTCAGTCTTGGCCGTGGACTGACAACGCTGAGGTTTTCACCGAGTGGGCCGCTTGCCCTGCCACCTTTGAGTGCAGGGAGGCTGTCACGATGGTCTGTCCCCATCGGTGACATCCACCCGAGGCATAGCACTGGCTCTGGGACGGGGTCTGATGAAACACTTCCAACTTCCAACCTTTTCCTCTACTTGTCTGCCATCGGCCTCACGCCACAGAAAGTCGACTTTCTTTTCCATGGCCTTTTTTTTTTATTCCTGACTAAAATACTGTAGTGAAAAATGCAGAAAGCTAAAAAAGTCACCTAATCCTACTGCTCAGAGAAAACCACTGTTAATATTTTGGTGAATTTTCTTTCGCAAATACGTACAAACATGTATGGTTTTGCTCTTCCTTTTCCTTTTTTTCATTGTAAAATTGAGCTCGTGTTGTTTTGCAGGCTCTTTTATTCATTATCGTGTTGTGACCGTTTCCTCGTGTTACTGGTCTAAAACGTGATTTTGAATGGCGAAGGGCATTCCAGGGACATGCTTTGTTTACAGTTTTTCTGATTACAAACGTTTGCTGCTGCAGTGAGCATCGGTGCACACGAATCCCCGTGCTTGTGTGATGGTTCCACGGGTCCTCGTACTCCATGTGGAAGTGATGGCACAAATGTTCTCGAGGCTTCTGATGGATCCTGCTAGGCCTGATTTCTCTTCTGAAGAAGCTTAAGTTACAGACTTCAGAGTTGCAAAATGTCTGAGCTTGTAAGGCTCCGCTGAGATCATTTGACCAAATCAGCCCCTGCTTTTTGTGGATCTTGGGGACTCTCCTGCCCACTTCTGAGCGCCACCGTTATCCCCGAGTGACGTCTCCACAGGGAGGCTGGGACCAGGGAGAAGAGAGGTGCTGATGGTTCTAGTTGACTCCCGGGGCCTTGACAGGAACCCTGATTGACGGCAGTGAATTTAACAAACATTTCCCGAGTCCCTGTCTAAGCCCGGTGCTGGGTTGCAAGTGAAGGACTTGGAGGCTAATAAGGCAGCTGGTGCCTGCCAGGACTTGCAGGCCCGTGACGAGACGGACAGACAGGTTAGGTTGATGCCCACAGGTGTGCTAAGTGCAGTGATGGGGGCTTGGGGCCCAGGAAACGGATGGAGAGCCGAGGATCCGGGGGGCCTCACCGAGGGTGACGACCACCGAGCCGGTTCCTGGAGGGTGTGAAGGAGCTCCCCGGTGGGCAAGCGGGTGAGGACACAGGGACGATGGCGTCTGAAGGTGGGCCAGCAGGCTGGGGCTGCCTGGAGACTGGGCAAATTGCCAAATTGGCATGAAGCTTTGATGGGGAAATGGGTGGGGTGCCCATCAGTGTTGCTTTTCTTTCCAAACAAGGACGTCTGGAGTGAAAGCAGACGGTATCAGCAGGCATCCTGGGGCAGCAGGGGTAAGGTGGGGACTTCGGGTCTCCCTCATCCCGGAAGAGAAAGCGTCTGGCTCTGTGGGGCTTGGTGCATCAGCACCGATGGGAGGAGACAAAGGCCCAGCACGCTCTTCCTTTCAGCTTCAGGTGCAGCCCCCTGGTTCATCGGAGGGGCCCACCGTGGTCACCAGCTCGGAGACAACGCAGCTGATGACGGGCAGCGTCCTGTTCTGTGCGGCGAGCACGTGGGAGGATGTGGCCTGACAGCCCTGGGGCGTCTCTGGGACCCGCTCTGGGGCAAAGCAGAGGTCTTCCCTGACCGCCTCCTCAGGAGCGCCCCTGAACCCGCCTTGACTGCCCCATGGCACCTGTGGTGGCCCCGCCCACATGAAGGCAGGGGTGGGACTAGGCCCACAGCAGGTGCCCCTGAGGGTTTTCCAGATTCATCCAAATGGGTTTCTCCTCACACGAGGAAGCCTGGAGTCACTCTAATTTTTAACATAATGAAGCTACGTCCTCGGTGTCTGCTCCCAATGCCAAGCCTTACTTTTCAGGGCTCCTCGGGGAAAAGCCCTCGAGTGAACAGCTCTTCAGTGAAGGATTTCTTTAGCTCAAGGGCTCCCTTCTCTGCTCTTCCTGCTTGCATCATTGGAAACATCTGTAGAAATCCATGTTAATTAATTGGCTCCAGCCTTGGAGTGGGTGAGGTGCATGGTTGATGGCACGGTCATGCGGCCTGCTGGGTTAGGCCTCAAGCTGGCTCTGAGCCCCGGTGACCCGGAAGGGCACTGGGAGCCCTTGCTGAGTCCACGTTGGGTGCCTTCCCTGGGGTGGGCTGGGGTTGGGCTGAAAAATTATTTAAGTGAAACATAGGCCGGACACCGGTGGGCATTTTGGCAACGGGTAGATTTTAAAAATAAGCCGGGGTGGCTCAGTCGATTAAGCGTCCGACTCTTGGTTTCGGCTCAGGTCATGATCTCATGCGTTGTGGGATCGAGCCCTGGGTCCGTGCTCAGCACAGAGTCTGCTTGGGATTCTCTTTCTCCTCTCCCTTTGCCCCTCTCCTGCTCACGTGCATGCGAGTGCTCTCTCTCTCAAATAAATAAATCTTTAAAGAAATAAAAATAAGCTTCGTTCCCCCCATTATAGAAATAATACGTGTTCCTTGGAGATAAACAATACTCGCTGCACACACACACACACACACCCCCCAGCTCACTCTGGCTATTTCAGCCTAAGCCACGGCAGGCCAGTTGGGTGGAAGTGGCCTCTGGGACGTTGTGGGCAGTTAATCTGGGACCTAGTTTCTCAGACTTACACTGGTGTCTGCAGCTAGCTGCGGCCTGAGGCCAGAGGCTCGTCCAAAGGTGCGTCTTCTCCCTGAAGTCAAGAGAGTAAACCACGGTCATTCTTGGAGCCGCTGAGGAAGGCAAAATCCCCATTTTGCAGAGGTGGAGCCTGAGGCCCAGAGGTTCCAGTAGGTCTGCGTCCTGCCTCTTCCCCACCGGTGTTCCCATGCGGGAGCCGATGACTCCTAAGCTCCCCAGGAGTGGCGGCAACCTTGCTTCCAGCCTCGGAAGGACACTCAAGTAGGAGTGATTCAGACTCTAGAGAAAGATGTGCAGACCATCTCAATCTTTGCTGCTGAGCCTGCCTGGGGAGGTGCCGGGAGCCCAGAGGAAGCTCTGGGGGCTTTTATTACGTTAATGATCTGTGTTGTGGCATTTCCAAAAATGGTTCCCACCTCCTCCATGCTGGAAGAGGCAGGAGGAGACAGGCTGTCACTGCCTCCCAGATGCAGCCGGCTTTGCCTTTGGCAGGTGCCCACCCACCCCCTTAAGGATTTCCTGCCTTCAGAGCAAACACTTACAGATGAGAAAATCGAGGTTCAGAGAGGGTAGTGACTTGCCCAAGGCCACACAGCACATCACTGGCGAAGCTGGGGTCCACTTTCAGGTCTATAGGGCTCAAGTCTGGAGAACTCCAAATCCTGCTCTGTTCCCTGCCAGAGGCACTATGGCTACTTCACTCTGTCTTCTGCCTTGTGACAGACCTGAGTTGAGGCACCTTGCAGGTGGCGCCTGAGCTGTGGGAAGAACAGGGAGCTGAGAGCTCGG